CAACAGGTGACATTTGCCCGCCACTTCCCTATTTCTTTTTGCGTCTCGTTGGTAATAGATACGGAGTTTTCGTATTTATACTTAAACCCTTCTACTTCTTACACTTATTTTGGTTATCAGGAAAAGGATCATCTAAAGATGGCTGTTGCAAAGATTCACGCTGAACGTCCAAATATTCTACTAGTCGAAAAGTCGGTATCTCGATTTGCTCAAGAATATCTTCTAGTCAAAGACATATCTCTTGTTCTAAACATCAAGAGGCCGCTTTTAGATCGCATTGCTCGATGCACTGGTGCTCATATAATTCCATCAGTAGATCACCTCTCTTCTCAAAAGCTGGGTTACTGTGAGAACTTTCGGGTGGATAGGTTTCTTGAAGAACATGGTTCAGCTGGTCAAGTTGGAAAGAAAGTAGTGAAGACATTGATGTATTTTGAGGGTTGTCCAAAGCCATTAGGCTTTACAGTAAGTACTCACACCCATTAAAATTTGATATACAGAGCAGATCTCTTATATCTTATTGCATCACGACATTACTTCTTACTTTTTTGTCCTTTCTTCTTCAGATTTTGCTTAGGGGTGCTAATGAAGATGAATTGAAAAAAGTGAAGCATGTGGTCCAATATGGAGTTTTTGCAGCTTATCATTTGGCACTCGAGACATCATTTCTTGCTGACGAAGGAGCGTCACCAGAACTTCCCTTGAATTCCCCAATTACGGTGGCACTTCCAGATAAATCTACGAGCATTGAACGTTCGATATCTACTGTGCCAGGTTTCATGGTCTCCACATATGATAAATCTCCAACAGTGCTATCTGGTTCCGAACCACAACGAGCAAACAGTGTCCCAGCATCAGAGTTGCTTTCGACCACTGCCAATCTATCCACCAAGAAGGATATAGATCCTCTGATACCCAATGGTTCAGGCTGGCAGGCTAGAGAATTAAATCCGAGCTTCTTATTTTCACGCTATAATGTTTCATTAAATTTGCCTGACCGTGTGATAGAGGGAAGAAACTCAGATTTATCTGAGAGATCTGCACTGGCCGACACACCAGCAGACAAAAGCAATCCAACTGTTGAGGCAGAAGACATATCAAACAGTTCCCTGCATTCATCAGCGCAATGCTTTGTGCAAAAGATTTCTCAAAGTAGTACGAGCGTTATGGTTGAAAATCAAGACACTGGTTCAGAGCTTACAACCGTCCAACAACAAAACAGTGAGAACCCAAAGGAACCACAATCTCAAAAAGAGGAATTTCCTCCGTCACCTTCTGATCACCAGAGCATTTTGGTTTCTCTATCGTCCCGATCAGTGTGGAAAGGAACTGTGTGTGAGAGGTCTCACCTCTTTCGGATAAAATACTATGGTAGTTTTGATAAACCATTGGGACGGTTCTTGAGAGATCATTTGTTCGATCATGTGAGTTTATTTTTCTATTTTATTTTTGTTCAATAATGCGACTTATCAGTTACAGCTTACATAATACCTTGGTAACTCAAATAAATGCTTAAATTGCAGAGTTACAGGTGCCGTTCTTGTGAGATGCCATCAGAAGCTCACGTTCACTGTTACACTCATCGGCAAGGTAGCCTTACGATATCTGTTAAGAAGCTTCAAGATTATCTCTTACCTGGTGAAAAGGAGGGGAAGATCTGGATGTGGCATAGATGCCTGAGATGCCCGCGACCTAACGGCTTCCCTCCAGCGACTCTACGAGTGGTGATGTCTGATGCTGCATGGGGATTATCGTTTGGGAAGTTTCTGGAGCTCAGTTTTTCAAATCACGCAGCTGCCAGTAGAGTAGCATGTTGTGGCCATTCTCTGCATAGAGACTGTCTTCGCTTCTATGGGTAAGTTGTTAAAACATGTCTTATTTAGAAATCTGTGTTTTTTCCTTTGCTTTAACAAGTTGTGCCCGTGCAGATTTGGGAACATGGTTGCTTGCTTCCGTTACGCTACTATAGATGTTCATTCGGTCTACCTTCCTCCATCTATTCTTAGTTTCAACTATAATAATCAGGACTGGATACAGAGAGAGACAGACGAGGTTAAATACCTGTGATTTCCTTGGGTGCAGTATCGAAATCTAACACGTTGATTTGACTGAGCTCTCCCTCTCTTTTTTATCAAGCAGGTGGTAGAGAGAGCAGAGCTTCTGTTTTCTGAAGTATTAAATGCTATTAGTCAAATCGCAGAGAAAGGTTTTAGGCGTCGAATTGGTGAACTCGAAGAAGTGCTGCAAAGAGAGAAAGCAGAATTCGAGGTAAGAAATTATGTTTTATATGAAAGAGCATCTAAAACTCAGCGATGCTAAATAAATTGGTTCTATCTCTTAAAACAGATATACGACAAAATTATTTTAAGACAAAAGGTCTGTTTTGTAACTCGTCTTACATTTCTTCCAGGAAAATATGCAAAAGATGTTGCACGGGGAAGTGAAGGAAGGCCAACATCTCGTGGACATTCTTGAGCTATACCGGCTTCGCAGACAGCTGATTTTTCAGTCATATATGTGGGATCACCGATTAATTAGTGCATCAACTTTACATAAGCTTGAGGGTAGTGATGATACAAGCAGAGAAGAAAAGGAGAAACCACCCCTGTCTAAGAGCCAGACGCTCCCCGAGATGAATGCTGGGTCCAACTCTCTTCTTGCTGGCTCAGAGGTTAATCTGAATCCTAATGGTGATTCTGCTGGTGACACTGGCTCGTTATATAAGGTTCAGAAGGAAGCAAATACAAATTCAGATTTAAATCAGGAAAAGGAAGATGGGGGAGAAGTTTCTCCCAGCAAGACCTTACCTGATACTTCTGATCCTTTGGAAAATAAACTCGATGTTCGCAGGACACAGTCTGATGGCCAGATAGTTATGAAAAATCTATCAGCCACTCTTGACGCAGCATGGATAGGTGAACGTCAAACATCAGTGGAGATTCCAACTAATAATAAGATCTTGCTTCCTCCTTCCTCCATGTCAAACTCTTCAACTTTCCCTCCAATATCAGAGGGCTTAAATCCAATAGATCTCCCAGAACAGCAAAACGGCTTTAAGGTGGCTTATCCAGTTTCACCTGCTTTACCGAGTAGAAATTATGAGAACTCAGAAGATTCTGTAAGCTGGTTAGGTATGCCATTCCTCAATTTCTACCGTTCCATCAACAAGAATTTCCTGCTTAGCTCTCAGAAGATGGATACATTTGGCGAGCATACCCCTATCTATATTTCATCTTTTATAGAGGCAGAGCTTCAAGGTGGACCAAGACTACTTCTGCCTGTAGGCATGAATGATATTGTTGTTCCGGTGTATGATGATGAGCCCACGAGTATGATCGCATATGCCTTAATGTCACCCGAATATCAACGCCAAGTTGAAGGAGATTCTCTAGTGTCATATCCTTCTGAACTGAATATCGCTCGTCCAGTTGATGACACCATTTTTGACCCTAGCAGAAGCACTGGTTCAGTCGATGAAAGTATACTTTCAATGTCCTCGTCTCGCAGCAGCTCACTGCGTCTGGACCCACTTTCATATACGAAAGCTTTACATGCTCGAGTCTCATATGGAGAAGATGGCACTCTTGGAAAAGTGAAGTACACAGTTACTTGTTACTATGCAAAACGGTTTGAGGCGTTGAGGGGTATATGTATCCCTTCGGAACTTGAGTTTATAAGGTCTCTTAGCCGGTGTAAAAAATGGGGAGCTCAAGGTGGAAAGAGCAATGTATTCTTTGCTAAAACCCTGGACGATCGTTTTATCATCAAGCAAGTCACCAAGACAGAATTGGAGTCATTCATCAAATTTGCACCTGCTTACTTCAAATACTTATCTGAGTCTATCAGCACGAAAAGCCCAACTTGCCTGGCAAAAATTTTGGGAATCTATCAGGTACGTAACTGCTAGGTCGAGAGAACTCCTGTTCAGGTTTGATTCACTCTTGATGAGAATATGTATTTGTGTTAATAGGTTTCAACGAAGCAACTTAAGAGCGGGAAAGAAACAAAGATGGATGTTCTGATTATGGAGAATCTTCTGTTCGGTAGAACTGTGAAACGGCTTTATGACCTCAAAGGTTCTTCCCGGGCGCGATACAATCCTGACTCTAGTGGGAGCAACAACGTCTTGTTGGATCAAAACTTGATTGAGGCAATGCCAACTTCTCCCATTTTTGTCGGTAACAAAGCAAAACGGTTGTTGGAAAGAGCCGTCTGGAACGATACCGCTTTTCTTGCAGTGAGTTTTACTCTTCCACAAATCGTTTACTCTTCACTACTCTTGATAAAGTTTATAAACGTGTGCATCTTGTTTGTGTTTGCAGTTGGGTGATGTGATGGATTACTCGTTGCTAGTAGGCGTGGATGAAGAAAAGAACGAGCTAGTTCTCGGGATTATCGACTTCTTGAGGCAGTACACATGGGATAAACATCTAGAGTCTTGGGTGAAATTTACAGGAATCTTAGGAGGACCAAAGAATGAAGCACCGACAGTAATCTCTCCAAAGCAATACAAGAGAAGATTCAGAAAGGCGATGACGACTTACTTCCTTATGGTTCCTGATCAATGGTCTCCGCCTAATGTCATTACTAATAACTCGAGGTCTGATCAACCAGAAGAAACCTCTCAAGCCGGTACACAAGCAGAGTGATATATGAATACTCATAATGTAAGTTGTTTTGGTCTTGTATAGAAAATTGGTTTTTCTTTTTGCATTGGGGAACACAATTCTTCGGTTATGATTCATTTTTTAATTTTTTGGAAGATTGGGTTTCTCTCGGATATGGATTTTGTTTGCGTCTTTTAGATTCTGGGTCGTTCAGGTAGAGTTTTAGGAGATTGTCTGAAATTTCCTCAGAAAGATGTGAGATCATTTCAGTTTTATCCTGTCTGTACAAAAAAATAACATTTTTCTTTTGTATATGAGATTCTTTTCTTCTATCGTTGATTGCCTTCACAGTTTTTCTCGTTGATTCCCTCTTGATGCTTAAGAAAACATTGAAATCAGAATCTGGGACATATATTCATGTTTGTGTTCTTACAAAAGTGAAACAAGAAAGAAGCAAATCGCTGCTTCTTTTACAGCCTTTTTTTTTTCTGTACATTCTTATTCAAGAGGCCTTTATGAAGAGAGAACAGATTTTGATTTTGAAAAGAAAAAATAAAATAAAGAGAGGTTTAGAGGAAGTCAAAGCTGCTCCATTTGATCATCATTATCGCATGTTTTGAAGCAATTCCTCGTCTTTGACTATCACCCTTCTCTGCATCTCTCAAATCGAGATAACTTCTTTGCAGAAGATCAAGAATCTCCACCTCTCTGTTTTTTTTTTTATATAATTTTTTTACCAAATTCAATAATCAAAAAACATAGAAACAAGATCGATCTGATGACATTTAATTTAGGATTAGGAGGTTATCATACCTTGAGTAAGAAGCTACCATTGGACTCTCTGGGGGACAACGAGGACCTTCATCGTACCCTTCACATATCACCTCTCCATTATCATCGGTGTAACATATGATCCCTTGTGTCGGATCTTCAAATAGCTGTTTCAGGAAACAAAAATCATATTTTAATTGCCAAATAGCCTGTCTAGATTCTCAAGAAAATCAAGACCCAGTTCTACAAAAGATGAAGAAGAAGAAGAACGGATCGTACAGTGTTCTTGGTGGAGTATCGGATTGGCTGAGGCTGTGAATCTGTGACTTGCTTGACTTTAACTTGAATTTGACTCTGTTGAAGCATCAAAGTCTTTGATCTTAGTCTTACTGTCTTTGGAACAAAACATGGTGTTTGAAGAGGAAGACAAAGTTTAGTTGAATATGCCATAGCCTCTATGTGTTTCTTTTTCTTCAGAAGAAACTTTGATCTCTTCTTGTTTGGGACAAAAATTTTGGTTTATAGGTCCCAAGAACTTAAATAAAATTATGGCAAAACAAAACTTATAAATCCGATGATTGACTGAATCTTTTAGTTTTATCAAAAGTTTTATTGGGTTTAAATAGACACAAGATGCAAATAATATAATAGCCGAAAAAGAGTGGTCATCTTATTAACAAGTTTATAAATGTCTTTGTCGTGGGGTCATTACTTTCGTATTATCTTAGTAAAACAAAATTCTAATGGTTCATTTTTCTTCTTTCTTTTTCTCTAATGAAAGGTTGGCCAGTCAATTTTTCCCCTGTAATCGTTGAATTTATGCGCATATATGTCTACTCATGTATGAGTATTAACTGGTGTTGTTTAAAAGAAAATAATACTCACTTGTCGTTTACGCAGTTTCATTTGTACATAAAATGCTTTAACATATTTCATCATGAGATGAGAAGACCACCTCCTTATCAAATATTTATGAGGTACCTCCAATTAGTTTTTTTTTTGAATCACAGAATTTGCCATTTGGATTTATATACTCGCTTACTAAAACTAAAAACACAACATAACGTAGTATAAGTCTATAACTTGTCTATAACTTGTTGACAAAAATAAAAGTAGTGTTTTAATAAAAATGATTCGTTAAAGGAAAAAGAAACCACTAGAGATTAGTTTTTTTTGTTTAAAATCATAAGATGTTTTGGAGTTTTTTTTCAAAATATAAAATGTTTTCACATCTCCTTCAATCTTTACATTTCTTGAATACAGTGTCACATGTATTTCAATCTTTTTGTTTAGTTTACATGACTAAATTATTTTTAGTTTATATATAAATGATACCTTTAAAAAGAACCTTACTTTTTTTAATTTCTCCATTTTTAGTTAAATCTTCTTATAATTTGAAATAAAAATATATCGTTTTAGGTTTTCAATAGAAATTTAGTACTTTAAATTTTGAAATCATCCCTAATTTAAATTTAAATTAAATTAATAATACTAATAGTTTTGCCTTTTAGGGATATATGAAGTTTCTAATGGAGTATATTTTTTAAATAGATGTGAAAAAAAAAAATTTAAACGACACTAGTGACATGTCCGTCTATCTAGTGACATGTAAAATTTTGTTTTCTTTCAAAATGTCAATAACTGATGTATATTTTAATAATATGATTGGACGAGAGATTAATCATTAATTGTTAGCTAAACATGGAGACATCGTCGTACAGTTGCGCGGAAAATGTCGTCGTCTCTTTCCAACGTCAGTATGGTGTGTTCTAGAGTAGTATTACCTCGCTGGTTTCGTTAACTAACAAATTAATACCAATTTATACATGCCAACGAATATTCCTCTATTAAAATTAAATAAACTTATACGAATCTTTATTTTGTTTACTTGAATGAAAACCACAAATGTTCACTAGTTTTTGAGTCATTAACGACTTTAGAAATTTTTAACCAAAAAAAATAATATAGAAAAACTCGAAATGGTGGAATCATAGATCAAGGTAGGTCACAAACGCTGGAGCAAACTTCCAGAATCGCTTTAACAAAACGATTAAAAAATTCACAATCATTTTTTTGTCAAATGAATAATATAGTATTGATAGATAATAGTTGCTAATTAATTATTCGGTTTTATATATAAAAGACTATAATTAAGTATTTGTGGTCTCTGTGTTTCAGGAGGCTGGGAGGTTATATACGTCAATCAAGTTTTTTTTTAATATCATTTTTCTAGATCGTCGTCCACTTATATCATGGCGTAGTGGTGGCCTAACTTATCAATATCGTACGATCTCTAAGTTTTTTATAAGCAAGTATGATTATAAAATGTAATTATTAATGTTATCTTCTTAAGTAACCTATTATATTTTGGAGATGACACAATAGTAGAAACATACGTCTACGAGAGTACGAGTGAATGCAGGTAAATGAGCTGGGAACCGAGAAACAAATGCGTATTTAGGTTTGATAAATACTTAGACTAAGAAGTTATATGTTAGCCTAATTTAAAGCCCGTTATATAAAATATATGTGCCCATTAAAGGCCCAAGTGTTCATTTGAGTATAACTTGTTATTCAAGCAAGAGTGCGTCTTCGGAAACTTGAAGAGATGGTTTCTTCGACTCCGATCAATCAACCAGCTCGTAAAGTATTTTTGCATTCATAAAAGTTCAATAGTAGTTATTATAGTTTCTCTAATCGTGTTTCTATTTTCCTTCACTATGTAATTTTTAGGGTTTTATACTTCTGTGCAGGTGTTTTTTTTCATATCGGTGATCTAGCTTTACAGTTTGGTGAAGGAGATGAAGAGTCAATGTTATTAATCGCTACATTAGTCATTATAGCACATAGGAATGATTTAGTGGCTTTCACCTCTTTCTGCTTGAGAATTATGATTGATATCGGGGAATAAATTAATATTTAGTTGTAAATGGATATAGATACAGTTCTTCAAACACCACTTTAAAAGTCTTACTTATTGGTCTATCCCTTGAGGTTATATAACATTAACAATCTCGTGTTTGAGGGGTAGATAGTTACAGTACAGTATAAAGGCATAACCGACCGAGGAAATGAGATCAGCAACTACCTTTATCTTCTATATTTTTTTTTGGTCAGGTAAACAACAAATACTTATTGTTTGTTTCAATCATAAATAAAAATAATTAAAATTCAAAGGACCGTTGTATAAATAAATAAAAAATCAACTATAAAACACAGTAAAAAATAGCATTATTCAATTTCTAAATATAGACTAAGAAGTAACATTATTACTCTATTTTGGAATTAAAAGTAAGTGACATTTGGAGAAAATTTTACTCTAAAGTAACGTTTAAAATTAAAATATAATAGAGCTTGAGATATCCTTATACTTAATTTTGTTTTTAGGCTTTATCACTTATCAGTAATTATCACAATGGAATTAACTTGAACTGTCGTATGGAATACATGTTTGGTTTAACCATCTTGTTTTGTTAAGCCACCTAAGGTTTTAGTGACAATAGTTGAGCTATTGATCACACCTCTCTCCGTTTCTTCAAAGAATAAATCAGCATCTTAATTACCTTTAAAATTTTCAGATAATTAGAAAGTTTTAACTTCTTCATCTCTTTAAAGACAAGCAAGTTTAATCGATGATCATACATGATCATTTTATGTTATTTTTTAATTATGTGTTGCTCATATTTTGCATATATTTTGCATATATTATGTTTATTTTTATAAATTTATTTATTTAGTTCTTATTTCAGTCTTTCAATAGTAATGATGCATTGAACAACACTTAAATAGAAAGGTCACGAGATTCACTAAGATTAAAATCAATTTGATGTTTTTATCTTGTTAAGGCTCCCGTACACCTTTGTCTTTGTTCTACCGTCTCCAAACGTTCACACGTTATCACATTAGACGATAACATTTTCATGATAGATGCCTTCTTTGATGTAGATGAAGAATCTTGCACTTGTTTTCACGGGGGCTTTTGCCACTGCCTCGCTGATTGTCATGTAGTCTCCTGTTCTGTCTTTAGTGACGGTACCGTTTGTACCCCAATCGCAATAATAACGAGAAAAGTCATGAGATGCATTGAACAATACTTAAATATTAATGATGCATTGAACAACACTTAAATAGAAAAGTCACGAGATTCACTAAGATAAAATCAATTTGATGTTTTAAAAATATTTGATACAAAATTATATTTGATTATATAAAACTGGGACATTAGAATTCACTACAAGAAAACATGTCGAAAACCTACAGAAAATATCGTCAGAAAAACGTAGCAAACAGTCATTTCTTACCAAATTCTTACAAAATTTTGTTATAGGAAATCGGCCATCGGAAATTGTAAAAGGTAAGAAAATGGTAGGAAATTTCCTACGAAAATGTTGGTAGGATCTTTTTCCTACGGAATTTTTAGTAGAACTTTCCTACCAAATTATTACTATTTTTTATCGATTAGTGTTCTTTCCAATTTCCTACGAAACATCACATACTTATTTCCTACGATTTTTTTACTAATCTTTTACTACTATTTCTTACCAATTTCCTACCAATATAATTTTATAAAAATCAAAAACTAAATTAATATCAGAAATTGAATTTAAAATAAAATATAAATTAATTATAAATTTGATTAATGAAATATATACAAAAAACAAAATAAATTCAATAATTACTATGAGCCTAAAATTTGACTAAGTAATTATTAATTAGAGGGAGAGAAGGTGAAGACTCTTATTTATAGAGCAACTTCTTCACCTAAATTAACTTAGATTGTCGATGTGGGACAAATAAAAAAACATAAGTTTTCTACGAAATTCCTACGATTTTTTCTACAAACGATATTTTGTAGGAAATCCGTAGAAAATTTTAATTTTGTTCTTTTTATAGTGCAGTTTCTTCATCTAAATTCTTAACTTTTCGATGTGGGACAAACTAAAAGACATATTTTCCTACAAAATTCGTACGATTTTTCTACAAACAATATTTCGTAGGACAATTTCCTACGAAATTTCCACCAATGTAACAGTCAATTGGATCCTACAACTTTTCTACCAAATTTTGACCGTATTTTCTACGAATATAAATTTAGTAGGTTATTGGTTGGATATATCATACCACTTTTTGACATTTTCTTTTTGTAGGAAATTTCTTACCTATTTCTTACCACTTTTATTTTTCGTCATAATTGCGTAAGAAATTGGTGAAAAATATTCATACCAAATACATTCGTAGGAATTTTCGTAGGAATATGGCATGTTTTCTTGTAGTGATTGACTTACAGATGGTCGAGGAGTTGCAAATTGATACACATTGGCATAAGTGCAATAAGTAAAGAAAAAAGAGCAAAACTCCCAATCAGTATTACTACTATTTATGAGGTAATCTCCCGTTATTACTACTATTTATGAGGTAATCTCCCGTGCCGTCTTTAGCAACGTAAATGTTTGGTGTACCGTGTATACAATCACATGCCACAAAGACACTGACACGTCTTTGGCAAAGGATATGAGTGTTTAAATTATTTTTCGCAGTGGTGTTGACGTTTTATACCTTTTAGCTGCAAAGGTATAATTGTTTTACTTTTTTTTTGCTGAGAATGCAAGAAAACGTCTATGTCCTATTATGAGAACAAAAGTTACATAATTTCATCAAAATGCAATATAACATTCCAATTACGACTAAATTGTACTCGAACCAAAGTTTTTCTTTCATTATTTGGGTAATAACGACGAATAAACATTAAACCTCTGAAACTTTTTTGTTTGCTTGCCTAGAATTATCTTTAAAGTCATTTTGATTACTTTACTTTCTAAGTTTAAGTTTCTTTTTGGTCAGAATTTACATAGTACTCTGAAAAAAACTGCTTTATCATATCTAGTAAAAAAACTCGGCCAAAGAAAATGTCAGCACCTTAATTATCTTTTCTAAATTTTTTAGATGATTAGAAAGTTTTTATTCTTCATCTCTTCGAAGACATTCAAGCAAGTTCAATCGATGATGAATCATTTTATGTTATTTTTTGTTATATTTTGCTCATATTTTGCATATATTTTGCATCTATTATGTTTATTTTTATAAATTTACTTATTTTATTCTTATTTCAGTCTTTTAATGTGACCATTTCAATTCTAATGTCCTAAAATTTAAATTCACTTACAAAATGTGACAATTTGAAATGTGGTGTAATGTGGTGTAATGTGGTTTGTCCAACCTGTTCAAGCTACCGGACTACCATCTTGGAGCTCCCATCGCCAAACATTGCAACGTTGTCTCGGTCAACGATTACATTTTCTCTATATATGCCTTCTTTGACATGGATGATGAATTTCGAACTTTCTTTCTTGGGGACTTTTCCCACCGCCTCATTGATCGTGAGGTAATCGCCCATGCTATCTTTAGCCACCGTTAAGCTTGAGTCCAGTCGCATACCATGCACACTAATTAAGGGAATTCTTGATGTTTGAATACTCAATGTTATCATTTCTGAAATCACTGGCATAAGTGCACAATAATTACCGAAAAATAGCAAAACTCACTATCAGTGTTACTATATATGTAGTCATTGATTGTCCGTCTAAATGGCAAACTATACTGTAACTTGTATCGATCCCAATCTAAAACATTGTATTTGTATTGAAATATCCTTTTTAAAGTAGAAAACTGAATCCAAATACAATATTATCTTTTCATATAAAAGTATTGTTCTTTAATAATCTAATTCCAAATAACATAATAATAATTTTAAACAAAAGAACGTTTCTTAAATAATCTAAATCCAAATAATACGGTTACGAGAGAAGAAATTCTAGTCACTAAGTGAGCTGATTTGGAACTCCACTCGCTGGTAACCATTTGTTTCCTTGGATAAACGCAGCAACAGTAAACCTCGCTGCCTCGGCATCAGACATAACGGGCTTGTAAGCGGCCCATTTAACTCTCTGACTCAAGCCCGATCCACGACCAAAATTCCTATACTCTCCGTAAAGTATTTTCTTAGGCTCAACTCCGACATCCCAGCGTACCCACCCAGCGGGATTCACGATCGGCCCAATCTCCGACTGCATAACCACAGTCGTCGAATACTTCTTCCACGGACGGCCGAGATACGTCTCAGCGGTTACCTTTCCTTTGGCGGAGATTCTACACCGTTGGATTGAGATTCCCGTGTTCTGATTATCATCGGTCTTGCCTTGCGCGGTGATAGTGTTGAACTGTTTCGAAAACGGCTGACGCGGCATGATATCGCAGTTTTGAAAAACGACGGCTGCGTTTCCGAATATGAAGTCGACTGTTCCGGTGACGTCGCAGTCACGGTAGAATTGTCGGTTTGAGTGAGGATAGAGAGTGTCTTGATAGCCATCGAATGAGCATCGGTAATAAACCGAGTGGTCCGATCCTGACCGGAACGCAACCGCTTGGTGCTTCTCTGGTCCGGCTGTGTTTATGATTCCAATATCTTTCATAATGAATCCTTTCCCTTGAACACCTGCGTGAGGAACACGTAAGAAAATCATAAACAAAAGTTCCATAACATTGTTGTATACAAACTTTTAATGTCTTTAATATAAACCAGCGTTAACCAAATAAAATGGAGTGAGAAATATAAGTGAGAGAGGGAGTTACCAAACGTCGCCGTTTCGTAAGTTTTAGTCCCGTCGGCGTAGTTTTTACTGCCGGAAATAATGGTCTTGGACTTTCCGTCACCGTAGATCATAACATTCCATTTGCTCTTGTCCATAACCACATTCTCTACATACGTACCAGCTTTCACGTATATAACGAACATGGTGTTACTTTTACTCGGAACCTTTGCCACGGCCTCGTTAACCGTTTTGACGTCGCCGGAGCCATCAGCAGCCACCGTCACGTTTGGAGTAACATTCTCCGCAGAAAGTAGCTTCCGCACACGTGGACACACCCAACGTGGGAAGAACGGCTTGGAACCGAGTAACCGTCTCCTATGAATTGGAATCCCAAAATCGCTCAAGGTAGAGAGTACCTTGGCGACGATTGCGAGGCTGTTGCTAGTGAACTCGGTGGAGTTTCTCATGGCGGATTTCAGATTCCGCGAGATTGTGGAGTTAGCGTAGTTCTCCGTCGTCGTCATGTTGTTGTTCGAGCGTAGCTCGTCGAGCGCGTCGAAGCACGTCTCGTGGTAGGTTAAGGCTGCGCTGAGCCATGTCTTGAGGTCGTCGATCTTCGTAGGATTCAGAATATTCTTCCCGTCTCTGACATCCATGGCGGAAACAGTCTCGTTGAGACTATCCATCGCGTTGTCTAGAAGCTCTCCACAAACACCAAGCGCTGATTTGATACTCTCATCGTCTGTCTCTTCGGAGAGCTTCTTTGGCAAAGTGGATATCGAAGCGAGCTCGTCGACCACCACTTTCAGTGAAAGCCTGAACAGAACCTCAGGATCCGTCGTGTTGGAAGATGGAATGTTAGAGATGCTTGACATACAAGAAGCAGGGAAGTGAGTCACGCTGCACACGGTCTTGAGTGAAGCGGCTGGTGTCAAGTTTGGAGTTGAACTCAGTGTTGAACCATGTGAATTGTTTTTCCGGCTATGAACAACGACGCCGATGGTAATCGCCAACAGAGCCACGACGGAAATTCCCACTAAAAGCCACTGCCTCCACGTCTTTCTCTTCAACTCTACATCTTGCGCTTCATCTACTTTGAAATATCCTTTGATTACCTTCAGAGTATCCATAAAACGAAAAAAAAAACAAAATCAACGTTTTCAAGGGTTTCTTTTTGTTTTTTGTGTGAAACTTTTAGGGTTTCTGTTTGTTTCGTCGAACAATGGTTTTATGATGTGGGTGTGTTGATGATTGAATTATATAAGTAGAGGAATGTGAATATTTCGCGCAAGTTCTTTTAAGGAAGTGGTGATTCATTATGTTCTGTCACTAATTAATTTAAACCTATCTCCATTAGGTAGTTTTTTCCTCAGTCTTTCACCATATCTCTATTAGAATATTAGGTCGAATATGCACTCTCTCATTAATCAGGGCAAATCAATTGTCTCGTCTAAACCAGGTCGAATATTAATGCACTAAAAATCAATTTTTCTCGTCTTCAATGTCAAATAATAATTTATTGTTGAGTTATTTGTGCTAGATCTGTATTGTTTGGATTTTAATGCACGAAATCTTCACAATATATTTGGTTCTTTGATTGAACATTTTAATGCCCACTTATGCTTACATCATGATTTTATTGAAGATCTTATCGTTTATACAGTATTGATTCTAATGGCTTTTCGTGTTTTTACTATGGAAACTTTGAATGTTTGGGATTACGATTGGAGTGATACTATATAGTTGATGAGATATTGTGGTGATTTTACATTAATTTTGGGATCAGTTTCTTGCAGAATACTAAGGATGTACAAGGACAGTCTAAGTTCTATAAATATCGTTTATAGAAATATCATATTCAAAGAATGCTGGTTTAAATGTATTTCCAATTTGTGTGTAGCTTGTGCTGTTCGGCTGCTTAGTCTTGGCTTAAAAACACTGAGCTTGGCCATGTAACATCTTATTTTTAATGCAATTTCAATAGAAGAATGTATAACGAAACAATTTAGTTGAGTGAAATCTGGTTTGCTTGGTATATATATTGCATATATAGCTTTTAGCATATTGTATAACGAAATTATAAAAAGAATTAAATATGAAAAAACATTGGTAATTCGTTGACAAAAAAAAAAAAATTGGATAAAAGTTATAAGATCATGACATCAGTCATCATCATAATCAATAAGCAATCTATCTTCTCTGACAAATCTAATTAAAATTCTGATGGCCCAAAAATCGCCATTATTCTCTTATCTCGTTTCCAATACTACGATCTAGAAAATACACAACGCAAGCAAACACAATTTGATTTATCTATAAAATCAATAAATTATTCGACCAAACAATAATGTAGGGAATACACAACAATAATAATATCTCAAAGACCGAGCGAGAAAGGGAAACCGGTCGAAGCTAACCAGCCTCCACCACCAATAAACTGACCAGCCGTATATCGCTGAGCTTCAGCAGCAGCCGTAATTACCTTAAAGCCCTTCCACTTCACTCTATTTGCAGTTCCAGCCCCTGCTCCTCTGTTCGCATACTCCCTATAAGTCAGAGTGTTCAAAGCGAAAGTCCCGGTCCACTCCGACCACCCTTCGGGTCGGATCACGTCGGAGATATCCGACTGCATTATCACCGTCTGCGAATATTCCTTCCACGGCCGGCCAAGAAACGTCGGGAAACTACTTTTCACGGACAGTAAATCCGACGTGGCACCAATCCGACATTTCTGGATAACGATCCCTGTGTTCTGGTTCGGATCGGTTCGTCCTTGGGCCGTGACCATGTTTTTCTGGCCGGAATTTGGCCGGCGAGCGTGGATGTCGCAGTCTTGGAGCACGACGGCGGCGTTTCCGAAGATGAAATCGACGGTTCCGGCGATGAGACACTTGACGAAGAATTGACGGTTAGAGTGGACGTAGAGAGTGTCTTGGTAAGCCAACATGTCGCAATTGTAGAAAGCGGAGAAATCGGAACCGACACGGAGAGCCACCGCTTGGTGCTTCGACGGACCCGCCGTGTTCTGGAATGTGATGTCACGCGCTAGGAATCTCTCGCCGACAGCAGCTGGGACCCACACAAAAAAAAGACACCGGTTAATTAACGGCATCATTAGCTTAAAAAAAAGAAAGGTTGCAAAAACATGAAATAATTTAATAATCATTAGCTAAACACGGACTAGTTCTGCTGGAATCTCACTTTAGTTTAGCAAAATCTACTAACTTTACCTTTTTGATGATGGTCCCTTTTGAAAATATATTCAAAAAATGAAATACAGACTTGAAATGTGTGTAGATGTAAAAGTTGTTGTAATGGAATGGTGTAACAAATGTAAATAAGAGACAAGATTCAATAGAAAAGTCAACAACAATGAAACAAAAGAAAATAGTAAAAGATAAGAAAGAAAAAAGGTAATGAAACCAAAGGCACTCTTCACGAGTGGATGAGCCATAAACTAATCCACACAACGTGACCTGGAAAAGAATATGAATAAAGCCAAGAAAAAATGATGGATCCATACTCGCACATGATGACTCATACAGTCATACCTAATCTAGTTTTTTGTTCGATTTTGGTAATGCAAAATTCCAATTTAATTTTATCTCCTATGCTAGGCTTCATGTGCGAATCATCTGTCGTAGACTCGTAGTGGGTACTAAGACTAAGAATCTACTTGTGTATAATTAATGTGCATGAAAAAAGAGTAAAGATTTTCCCACCAAAAAAGGACCACATCGATCGTGCAATACTTTAATAATTTTTCAAAACGAAAAATAATAATAATAAAAATTGCTTACCAACGGTGGCGGAGTGAAAAGTGGTGCTACCGTCGACGACATTTCTATTTGCGGTAATAATAGTTCTCGTGCGACCATCTCCCATAAACATTATATTCTTTTTCTTCTTCGCCACTTCCACATTCTCTCTATATACTCCGGCTTTTATATGTATCACATACCTCTTATTACTATTCTCTGGCGCCGCCGCAACCGCAGCCGCCACCGTCTTGAATGTACCACTACCATCAGCCGCCACGGTGGCGTCGGCTTTCACCGTAGATCCCTGAAGAAGCCTCCTGTCCCCGGCGGATAACCAAGTCGGCCACCCCTCGGAGTCTAGCTCTCCGGCGCCGGCGATATTTATGGACGCCGTAGTTTCCTCCTCCTTGAGCTTACGGTTGTTTGATGTGAGTTTAGCTTTTAACTCGAAATTGGCTATATCGGTATCAGTCATGTTCTTGATCATTGCTAGTGCGTTGCTGCACATGTGCTCTACGTGTATCTACACAATAATGATTTCGTTATAAAGATATATTTCGTTAGAAAAAATCATGTCATCTAAAGTTTATAGAATTAAATGATATACTCTAATAACAACAACCGTTAGCTACTATTCATACATTTGGGCCGGCACTAGCTAACGACATCTCATTTTAAGACAAAAAAAGTTTCTAAAGAATTGTCAAAGCGATGTGATGTATGGATATACATCTTATTTTTTGTTACCTTTTAATTTTTTGCCACTAAATAACACATTTTCAAAAATAGTGATTTCTATTGAGCCATTCCGGATTCCATAAGTTTTGCTACCAAAAACAAATGCATTTTGTCGATAATTGCGTTTTTCAAATTATTTCAAATTATTCGCTAAACCATTTTATGTCATACATTTCGCATAATTATCTTATTTTAACGGTTAGAGTCTTACAGATATGGTGTATACATACGTACCTGACCCTTCATCAAGGCTTTACGAACTTTTTTGTCGGCGGCGTCATGAGAGAAGCCGTCAAGACAAGTTTCCTGGTTAGTAATGGCGGAGCTAATTAGGGTTTTGAGATCACCGGCGTGTTCCCGGAGAGTTTTCTTGGTAGGATACAAATGGAGATCTTCCACAGCCTCGTGGAGCTCATCGAGCGTCTCATCAATAGTTTCCAAACAGTCATGAAGCGCCGTCTTCTCGCGAGGAGTCAGTCCTTTCCTATTCTTGATCAGCTTCTTCACGGTGAAGTAGTTATGCTCCACGGCGATTGTCGTTAGGTTAAGCGACGCCTCGATGACGTCTTTTTGCGACGTTAGTTTGACGTCACCGGAGGTAGCCACAGCGGAGACGCAAAGCTCAGGGTAAAGCGTGGAGCTACATGAGGATCTTAGCACGGCGTGAGACGACGCAGATAGTGTTCTTTTTCCGTTCTCGTTGGCTTTTGAAGCTCCGGCGGAAATTCCGGCGACGGCGGCTACGAGGAGCAAGGCTACGGCGGCGGATAGTAATATAAGTTTCTTATTTTTCTTGAGATTATCTTTAGAGAAGATTTCTTTGATTAAAGATGCCATTGTTTGACACTGATGGGTGAGTGATGAGTGCTCGTGAAGGGTTAGGGTGTTTATATTGATGAAATTAAAATCAGACACGAGATTTTTTAAAATGTCTTTTCTCTCTCTCTTTTTACTTTTCCCGACTCTATTATTTGAGTGGAATTTCAGTAAACAGAAGAAAAAAAAAACACATGTTATAAGCCGCCTCGTTCATAGAAGATAATGTGAAGGAAAAACAAAAACAGAATATTATTCCGATTATTCGAGTTCCACAGAAGTGCTATTCATGTAGTGCTCCCAAATTTGTATTTTTGTATTTGATTGATATTCTTTGAAGACGAGTCTAAACGAAATGTCTAATTGATCAAGAGACGGGATTAAATCCCTTTCGTATTTCTTACACTCTCTTTCTTTTGTTTATTAAAGCTCGCTTTAGTGTATATTAATTCCCTTTCGTATTTCTGACACTTTTCGGTTAAATAATAGCACTTTGGTACGGTAACTAGTATTTGTTATTTACAATATTGTCAATTGTCGTAGAGTAATTGACTAATTGGTTCAAATCATAAGCATTTATTTGGCAGTAATCCCCAATACCTAAAAAATAAAACTATGAAAGGCATCAAATTAATTTTTTTGGGAATTCAACTTACGTTTGGCTGAATTCAAGAACGTAAAAAACTTATTCGCGGTACCTCTAACAAATCTAAAAACCTGATTGCGCTATAGCCTGGGAGATTACTTTCTAAACTCGTCGTACATACATCTACATTTATATCAATATGAATTAAATATACTAAGTTTCTAATAGTAGTATACTTTTGCCTGCGTGTATTTGTCTTGCTGACGTTATAATCTTTTTTACTTAGAACATGTAACCTCGGGAATTTTGTGATAGAAAAAGTATATTAGCTGCTCAGTTGCTCTATAAGTACATAGTTGCTCTATAACTCGAACCGACAATAAGTTTTCCTTATTAAGTAGCATATTAATTATTCTTTTGGGTGATAATATTCTTTTAACGATTAACAGCAACCTGTACAACATTATTGGTGTTGCAAAGAAAAAGCTATACATTTCTCTCTGTAGTTCAAAATAATAATAATATTCTATTTAAATTTTTGAAATGAGTTTTATATTTAGCACTGAGAGAATATGTTTACTGTAAGTCTGTAAATGGTGTTCCTAATTAGAACGCTAGTCATACCATATAGAATATATATATATATATATATATAGAGAGAGAGAGAGAGAGAGAGAGAGAGAGAGAGAGAGAGAGAGAGAGAGAATTCTATACTGCTATTTGAGTATAAAATGTGCATGTAATGTAGTTAAGGTAAAACAAAAGTGTTACATGGCGATAGTGGCACCGAATATGTCGATGAAATGATAAATTATTTAGGCCGATGGCTGTGGAACTGTAACAGGATGCTGCAAGCCTGTCATGGGTCCATTTAACATCTTAAGAAAAAAAAATATGTTCCATTAATTCGATTAAATTAAGTTTTTGTCGGTTTACCTACAGGCTACAGCGCAGAATCCTTGCTTTCTTGTAATAACTTTTTTTTTTTTTTGTAATAACCCTTTGTTCGTTATATAAAATTCTATGAATGGACTTATAGTTATAGTAGAACGCAGAGCGTAAGGTTTGAATTTGCGATTACGAAATCAAACCCAGCCATAATGCTACTTTTAGTTTTCATTTTTTTTTTTTTAGTCCCTCGTCTTGAAAAGCAGGTCCAGTTGTAAATTGCAATCATCACAATCTTTCTTTCATTTTCTTTTTCTTTTCTTTTTTCATAATTTTGTATATTTAAATAAAAAGGTTATGTCATAATCATCTGTAAATCCTGCTTCCCTCTCTATTATCAATCTCTCATATCTAAAAGTAGATCATTTAAGGCTGGGAACGCTGTTTTTTTTTCTTTTTCTTAGAAATGTAAGTAGCAGAAGAAGCAGAACATTTAATAGTGTGGGTTAGGGTACGTTAAAAGAAGGAAAACAACTTGCATAATCCTTTCCGACACCTACTTGCAAATACAAGGCATCCGATGTAGCGTACGTCTCATTCTTTTGATAAACGACGGCCTAATTCTTTACTTTTCGAATGTTTTTATTGTTTAAAATAATAATGTGGATGAGTGTATCAAATACCATAAATATATAAACAACTAACGTAATTAATTAGTTCATATTATATTACATGTACAACTATTCCATATTCACATTTACAACTTCACAAGTCTGTCTTTATTCCAAAAAAAAAAAAAACTTCACAAGTCTGTCAATTATTCTTGGTAAGGTCACGTTGGTTGGTAGATTATTCTGTGCTAACGCTCTGCACGTGTTGCTACACTAGACAGTTAATATAAATTAAATCGGTGTCAGTAGTCAGTAGATAGCGTTGGGAAATGATTTGTTTTTCTGAAATAAATAGATTACTGAAAATAGTTATAAAGTAAAACATTCATCGCGACATCCACAGTATCTCCAGTTCGCATCTTTCTTGTAGGTTGGAAAAAAAAAACACATTCGTACTTGGGGAAATTATAAAGTTGAAATTTTGTGTTTGTCAACAACTTGCAGAAATAAGCAATAATTTCCGACAAAAGAAAAAGCAATAATTTTAATGGAAAACACAAAAATACAATACTATGGTAGCTTTGAATATGGGCCGAATCTTCACATAATAATGGGCCGCCGATATCGATGAAAATGGGCCTGAATATTTTCGATAACTGTTGGAATCGTTTAGTTTGTTAGGATCGAACTCCGTGACTCAAGCAGATAAAACTCTCCGATTCACTTCCCCGGGGAATCTACAACCACCGCCGTAAAATCTGGTCGAATCTCGTCTGATTCAACGCAGCCTCTTCAACAACCGTCGCCGCGTTGGTACTTGGAGGTGGATCGGTCGGGAACCGAGGATGTTCGGAACTCGGGTCGTGGTCTTGTGCCAAACCCTCGTCGAGACCAAGTTCCGGTCTCGTTCTTCGCTGCACCGAACAAACTCTCTTTCTGCAGATAGGACACGTGGAGTGAGATCGAAACCACGAGTCGATACAATCGGCGTGAAACCAGTGGTTACAGCTCGGCAAAACCCTGGATTTGTCTCCGTGGACGAGATCGGAGAGGCAAACAACGCATTCGACGCCGTCTTTGAAGTCGTTAGAGTTGAAGTCTACGACGGGGATTGATCGGAGAACGGAGGGCTTGATACCAGAATGTTCCATGATGGTCACGATGACATGGTCATGGCTGTTGTCATGATCATTATGATGATGATTGTCATCGTTACAATCACACTTAATAAGACAAAACACCAATCCACACACAATCCCAAAGAAAAACACGGTGAGGCCGAAGTTTATTCCGAACTGTATTAGAAATTCAGAAACAGAATCTCTCATCCTCAAAACCCTTTGAGGAAGAAAGATTTAGTAAGAGAGAAAAGCTAAAAAAACAAAACACAGACCCTAGAGAAAGCTCTTAGCAGCCGAAACCTTATTAGTTATTAAATTTGTTTAGTTATTTATATATAACAGCGTAACAAAAACCCAATTCCATTTTAATTAGGAATTCTATTTTTTTTAAAAAATATATTTTATACAGATATATACTCTTTGAGATGCAATTTAAGTCGAAGGAATCCAAACAGTCGAAGGAATCCAAACAGAAGAATAGCAATGGCGTAGACGATAACTATTGATAAGCAAAAATCAAAGTCCTTCATCTTCAAAGCCCATGTTTTTTTTTCTTTTTTTTTTTGGTTAATGATTTGATTTATTTTCTTGAACATACACATATTCAGAGATTAACTCTGACTAATTATTCTTAAAAGGAAAACTTCCTAAACTGAAATAAATAAGAAAGTAAAACTAAGAAAATTCCTAATTGAAATTGTTAAAGAAAACCATAAAAGTTAATGTGATTAACCCAACGCATGACTTGGCTTCACCTCACGTGACCTTCTTCCTCTTTATCTCTTTCTTGATGAACACTCCACTACTCTTCTTCAGTCTTTGATTGCCTTAATAATCACTAGTTTCTCTTCATTATGTGTTTTTTTTTTTTTGGACAATATGAAAGCCTCTAATACTGAGACTCCATCAAATCAACTTGTTATTTTTTTAAGCATTTATAACGACAATATAATAATAGGAATGCTGATATTTTATAGATTACTTTTGACATACAATTGAGTTATAGATATACAATATGAACTGACTACAAACTGGAAAATGCTCCTATAATGATGCTTCAGCAAATGGCTCTCTTGTTGGCAGAAAGCTCAAAGCACTTTTTGCTTGTATTCACAGCTTGTTGCAAATGTTAATATATTTTGCGCTTGGTGTAATCGAATACTTTCACTGGTCACCAGTAGTCTTTACATGAGCAGATGCCGGCAACGAAATGGTGGAATCGTTTTGTGTCTCTGAGGACTATGACTCTTGCAGTTACTTGCGATACAATCTTCATCCACGAATGGCAGTCTGCACATACCCTCAGGTTCTTGGTAACCCTAACAGGAACCCCTTCACCGGTGTGGATTAGAGAATAAGTAGTCGCGAGTCTCTCGCTGTGTCCACAAACCCAATTTGCCTTAGTTTCATCATCAACATCATGAAGCACCACGCTTGTATCAGGAAAATAACCGGATTTTTCAGTTGCTTCTTGTAGTTCTGACCATACTTTCTTATACTCATCTGAGTTACGAAACTCGTATCCACCCCCTGCAACAAAGATTTGAATCTTATCTTTAACCTGTATCCAACTACAACCAGCTTCTTTTCTGATCCCTCTTTGTTTCATCATCTCTCGGATCTTATCCACTTTTTCCCACATCTTTGCATCAGCGTATAAGTTAGAAACCATAACATAGTTCCCTGGATTACGGGGCTCAAGAACAAACAGCTCCTTTGCCGCTATCTCTCCCACTGAAACATTCCCATGGAGCCTGCAAGAATTAAGCAGTGATCCCCAAATGGATGCACTTGGCTTAAAGGGCATTGTCTCTACTACATTGACTGCTTCTTTGATTTTACCCGCTCGGCCTAAGATGTCAACCAAACAAGCATAATGCTCTAAGGCCGGTGAAACTCCGAACTCTGTTTTCATGCGTTCAAACAAGCTTAGACCATACTCAGTGAGCCCTGTATCGCTACACCCTGATAACAAGGCAACAAATGTAATCCCATCTGGTTCGAGGCCTGACTCTACCATCCGTTCAAACAGATTGATCTCTTCTTCGATCTTCCCGTTGATTGCGTAACAGTTTAGCATCGTGTTCCATGAAGTCAGATCCTTACTTGACATACCATCAAAGATCCTCCTAGAATACTCAACCTCTCCACATTTCCCATACATATCCAACAATGAGTTAAGCAATGGAACGTCAGGTTTCTCTTTCGATTTCAGAACCTGCGCATGAATCTCCTTCCCTGTGAGAAGAGCAGCGACACGTGAACAAGCGGGCAATATTGTCGTCAGTGTCGCCCAGCTAAACCCGATTCTCTCTTGCTGCATCTTTCTGAACAGATTAAACATCTCATGAACTCGGACTTTCTTGCTGAGTACAGAAATCAAAGAGTTCCAAGTAACAATGTTTCTCTGAGGCATTCCATCGAACAACTTGCGTGCGTCTTCGAACGAGCCACGTTCCATGTAAAGCTTCAAGAGCGCATTATTCACCACCTGATCAACCTTCTCCCTCCGTTTCACAATCTGCGCATGGATTCCTCTCCCAGCCCGGATATCTTTCAGATCAATGCACGCTTTTAACGCAACGGAAATTGAAAAATTCTCAGGCTCAATGAAACTACACAGCATATCTATATACGTAAGCAAAGCGTCTCTCGGTGACCCGTTTCTAGAGTACCCAATCGCCATCGCCGCCCAAACTTTTTCAGTAAGAAGGGTCGGATCGGTGACACCGTCGAAGATTTCCCGAGCGAGATCCAATCGGCGGCAAACCGAGAAAAGGGTGATGAGCTTGCTTAGCAATTTGGGGTCGTGACGGAGACTAGGGCTGTTGAGAACCAAAGAGCAGATCTTTTGGCCATGGTGAAGCGATCTAGCGGAGATGCAGGCGTGAAGAACGTCTGTGTAAGCCTCCGGGCTGGAGAGATTGGAGAGTGAGGACGACTTCTCTATCAGAGTGACGACGGCTTCGTCGAGCTTTCCGGATTTAGAGAGGCCTTTTAAGTGCTTTGAGAAGCCGGCTTGTTGTCTCCATGGAATTTGTAAAAATCTGGAATGGATAATACTCTGAGACCCCAATGGAGAAAGATAAGCTTGAAGTGTTGCAACATCTGCAAGTTTATCGAATCGTAAAGGCATAAGCTTTAAAGAAATCATTTTTGGACGGAAGAGAAGTGATAATTCCATAGGCATATATATCATCAAAGGTGGAATTCGAACAAAGAAAAATCTGAAACAAAGAAGTGAAATTCGGTGGCGCATAATGTTCGGAATCCGAATGCAAACGTACCTGGAGTAGGCATTGAATATTCAAAAGAAAATGAGTGAGAGAAGAAGGAAGAACTCAAAACCTCTTCTCTATAAATTTACAGTAAGCAAGTAGCGGAGAAGTTATTCCTTTGTTGAGTAGAAACAGAGAAGAAGATGGATAAGCCATCACAGAGTGGCAATTGAATTTCGATTTGTAAGTGGGCCTCTAATATTTGGGCCTTTTGTGTTTGCCAGTTGCATCGATATAGTATTTATTTTTCTTTGCTGTTATTGTGTATTTTTCTTTGTTATGCCCTTAGCCTATGCGCAGTCTGTGAACTTATTAGCTAGTGACTTGTATATTCCAGAAGAAACTCCTACGAAATACATGAATTACGATGTTGCAGTTAATAAAACAAATTTTTGTTTTTTTTCTCAGTAACTTTTTATCTTTGAAAATCTGAATTTAAGTTATGGAAATGAAGCAACTTTGGTAATCCAATGGTATCGTTATATGTTGAAGTAGACCTTGTGACGGGAAAAATCACAGTTTTACAGACAGAAATCTTGTATGACTATGACAAAAGTCTCAATCCGGTTGTCGATTTAGGACATATAATATAATAAAAAGAGCACATATGTTTAAGCAAATAGAACTTTTACCTATAAATCTTGTTTGTGCAGATTAAAGGAGCTTTTGTGCAAAAGCTTGGATTTTTCATGCTTGAAAAATATATAACTGATTCGGATGGATTCGTTGTGGCAGACAACATATGGATATACAAGATACCGACCATAAATACCATTCCTACATAGTTCAACATCGAAATACTAAACAACGGCTGCCATGAAAAACACGTACTCTCTTCATAGTAGACAACATTTCAAAAACTAACAATCAACTTTATGATCATATGGTGGTTTGTGTAAATGCAGCTTTAGAAGAGCCTCCGTTGCTAGTGGCTGCTTCGGTGCACTGTGGCACAATATAGGGGATTAAAGTAGCACGCAAACAGCTAAGGATGTGGAAATGTGAGGTTGGTTTGGATTCAAAGTTTCAGTTGCCAGTTCCGGCTGCAATGCCAGTGAAGGAGTTATGTGGCCTAGATATTGTTAAAAACTATTTGGAGTGAAAATTAAGAGTTACCTCAAAATCATGATCATTTTCTACAGTGAAATATGTACTTGTTTATTAATATTTTTAAAAATTTAGAAAAGACATTCTTCTTATGTTACCCATTTCTTGTAAGCAACCAATCCAGTTGATTAAAGAAAACAAAAACCAATTTTATAAATGAAATCATATTTGATAACAAATACAAAATTATCTTTAAAAGTTAAATTAAAAAACAGAGATAACAAAGAAAAATCTGAGTAATCTACTTGAGGGAAAGAAATGAGGACTGAACAAAGTACTTGCGTAAGAGAAGAGAACAAAACAACAAGAAGCTGACATCAGTCCCAAATCAAATACAAGAAGTCTAGTGAAGCTAACTTTTGAAACCAACAAACACCATCAAGCATAATAATCGTCTCTGACAATATCAATTGATACTACCAGCGACCATAGTTCTCTGAATACTCGCTATAGTGGTGAGCCGGACCATACCTTGAGGGTGCAGATGCATATCTGTGATTCTGATGATGATGATGGGAAAGAGAAGGATAATGAGGTTGCCACCTTGAATGCAAATCATCCGAGAGATGCCCACTAGACTCGTATGATGAATTTCTATGGTTTCTACCATATGGTGTGGTTGATTGAGAACCTGGATAATGACCACCAGAACTAAATGTTGGTGATCTATGGTTATGAGTATGATCCATATATGTAGTGGGTAACCTATGATAGTTATGACCCGATGGTGTAATAGGGGACCGTGGCCTCCTGATATTTCCTCTTTGGAAAGAATAGTCTTCCAGATCATCTATCATCCAACCGCCTCTCAGTTTTGGTTTCTGTGGTGTAGTTTGCAGATGTTCTCCATGTTCTCCTTTATGTGTTTTCTTCTTCTTCATCTTCTCATTATATTCACGGGGAGTAGAGTAGTGTTCCGAGGTTTCTTTATTTTTCTTCTTCTTCGTCTTCCCGTTGGATTCATGGGGAGTAGAATTGTATTCCAAGATTTCTTTATTCTTCTTCTTCTTCGTCTTTCCATTGGATTCACGAGGAGTAGAAATGTGTTCAGAATTTTCTATATTCTTTGTCTTCCTGTTGGATTCATGGGGAGTAGGAGTGTGTTCCGAGTTTTGTTTATTTCTCTTGTTAGATTTATGTGATGGAGTAGATAGTTCACGATTCCTCTTGGAGACCTAAATGTAGAAAGAAAAAGAACCCTAAGTCATAACATCAGAGAAAAAAAAGAAAGAATTGAAAGTTCAAAGCACCAAATGGAGAGAGAAAGATCCCACCTGAGAGGAATACAGACATTCACGAGCAAAATGTCCTACTCCATTACATCTGTAGCATAAACTAGGTGAGTCTCTGCCATGTGAAGTGCTAATGCTCGACGAATTCGGGCATTCACGTGAGAAATGCCCTTCTTCCCCACACCTAAAGCATGAACTAGCAAAATCTTTTTTGGTGCTTTCCTCATAGTACCTACCACAAGCCTAAAGAGAAAATCTATTTTAGTCGAATGATGAACTCTGCATCACTATTTTAACTAAAATGAGAATTGATCAATTCTGTAATCGACAGTATGGATGATCCCAAAGCAAAATCGTAACAACTTACCAGTCCAATGTGATCTAGCTGACCACATCTATAACAAGACACAGCCCATAACGGTGAGTTACCCGGTTCAACACAGCATAGATGGCCAAAGCTTTTACAGACATAACATTGTATATTCTGGTCAAAGTAAATATGGAAATATATCATTATCATCCGTCTGATCTACCATATAATCCAACTATACTAAGCAAGAGTACTGAGTTTCATGAAAACGAAATTACCTTTAAATCATCCAGAGAGTACTCATACTTGCACAAAATCATGTCATGTCCAGAGTCTCCACATCTTAAACATATGGCTGTTTTAGACCCATTTTTGTACTTATCCGGACAATCTTTTGCCCGGTGGCCACCTTTTTTGCAAATATAACAATCGTGTCCCTATGGAAACAAGAAAAAAATTCACTCAGCAAACCTATGCAACAATAACTTCGCTAGCCGTCCTAAATCTGTCTTGTGAACCACATAACTACACTCAAACACTTCTACGAATTTATACATAAGCCTTATGAATATATTGGAGAGAAGAAAAGCAAGGCAACTACATAAAACACCGACCATTAAGCTTAAAAATCGCACCTTTGAACACTGCTTTGCATCATGTTCCAAACTCCCGCATATAAAGCAAGGTTTCTTACGCTTGATTGAAGTTGGACAATTAACAGTAACATGATCTTGCTCCCCACAACTATAACAACTCTCCCTAGCATCAGGAGAGTCAAAGTATCTCGCTCCACGCTGAATAACACAAGACCCCAACAATGTTTATCACAGATAGAATTATTCCCCAATAAAAATATGGGAGATAAAGAGCAGTGATTTCAACTCACAAGAAGCTTTTTCAAAACCATATTATTAGAAATTTCTCCAGCTTTTGGTTCAGCAGATCTCTCAACCTTAACCTCATCATCATCATCTTTCCCTTTTGTTAAATCTTCCACCATCTTATCCTCACTTTGGTCTGCTGAACCAATGGACTGATACAAATTAAGAGAAACCGAAGAGCATTAAACACAAGTATTAAATTTTTCTTAACAAATAACAACATTGAAGTTAAAAACAACTAATTTTAAAAGTTATAACAGAAAAACAAATCGTTCATACTGACAATTTTATGGGCATCTTTTGGATTGGTTCCGTTCATCTTCTTACTACTCTTTGAATTTCCTCCATTGACAATCACAGTACTTACTACACCAGAACCGGACAGATCTAACATACTTATCTTCTTTGAATCATGCCTCGATAACACTTTCTCTAATATCTTCAAGCTAAGATCTTCATTACCCTCATCATCATCATTATCTTCATCAGAGCCATTTCCAATGTTTATAGGATCTTCTTCCGTGTCCTCTCTGTCATCAAAAATAATTTCTTCATCTTCATCGTTGCGCTTTGGCATGACTACTTATCCCTGAAAAAAATGATAAAATAAGATGAGACCATAAAATTATGCTATAAAACTTGGAGAGAGCTTGCTCAATTCTCTCTCCAGTTGAACTGAGGGTGACCCCTTGGGATTTTAATTAAGAAACACTCTTCACACGTATTCAAACACGTATTCACATGATTAATCAGGCCCAATTACAGGCCCAACAGGATTGAGTCGCACACAAATTCGGTATTGGCCTACAACTTGTGTGAGTTATTTTAAATTCCAATACTGGAATTTAATTGAAAAACAGTCTTCACACCTGTGTTGCCTAAAGGCGATTAATCACACCCAATAACAAGCCCAAGAAGTGTGATTCGCACACAAATTCGGTTTGGGCATACAACTTGTGGCAGTTTGTTTGAATTCCAATAGCGATGAAGTCTCTAATTTATAGTGCAGTTTCCCCTTCTTAATTATCCAAGTTTGTCGATGTGGGACAAAACAAAAAACCAATTTTTTAAAAACTGTCATGGGTATTTATGGGCTTCATCTATACTGCAATTTATTATGGGTATTCTGTATTCATGGGTATACATTTTGTTGTCTGGTTCACACAATAAAATCGTCATCAACATCATGAAGCACCACGCTTGTATCAGGTAAATAACCGGATTTTTCAATTGCTTCTTGTAGTTCTGACCATACTTTCTTATACTCATCTCTTGCTGTATCTTTCTTATACTCATCTCTTGCTTCCAAATGTATATTGTGTTTGCAAATTGCAACGATCTAGTATTTTTGTTTTCTTTGCTGTTATTGTATATTTTGAAACATTATGAATTTCGTTCTCAAGTGAAAAATCGTGGAAGACTAAACCCAAAAGGTTATACTATAATGCATATTGGAAAATTATTGAGATCTAAGAAGAGTATATACAGTAGAAAAGGAAAAAAAAAAACATTAGTGAATCACTGAGCAGAAGATGCATCGTCGTTGGATCCTCTTTGCGAGTCTTCAACTTTTGTCTCAACCTCTCTTCTTTTCTGCTCTTTGTCTTCTATACCTTTATTGATCCTCTCCCTAATCTCGTCCTCCTAGGCATTAGAAGAATTGAATTTCACAATTACTAGGACAATTTGTTCAATAATAATTAGCAAACAAGGATTTGATATCTAATATAGACCTAGTTAAGTAGTTGGTAAACTAGCTACATATGTATATGAATATAATTACATTGTTAAGTGCTTTAGCGTCGGGAGTCCTGGAACCATGAACACCGGCTCGGTTCGAAGCTTTTCCAACCATGGTCCTAATCACGCCATAGTACCGACCATCACTCTTCCCGGCGGTTCCGAGACGTTTACACCATTTTCCGATCATCATTCTCTCTCTCTATTTTGATTGATTTTACAAAGTGTATACAATAGCTACTATAATATATGGTTGTGATTGATAGATTCACACGTGAGGTTTGCATGACTGTAGTCGGTTTATAAGCTACGTGTCATAAAGTATCCACATGTCGTCCTCTGTTTCTTTGCTCTTTTCAGAAATCAATGATATCCGTTGAGACTCAAGACCAATCTTGCTCAGTGTCGGGTGTCTAATACATGAGTTGGGGGTTTTGTAATTGCATCAATCATGTCTCTTAAAAGAAAGTTTCCATCAGATTTCAAAACACGACCGTTTTGTTTCAGCTTCAATCAATTCACTAGCACCACACAACTTACAAATTGATTAATAAAGTTCAACTATTAACAGGAAACTTTATTCCAAAAAATGAAAATACAATACAATGGCAAAATCAAATACCGTCTTCGCTCGGAACTCACAAAAGGGGATGGTCTTTGTTCATGTTGTCGGAATCTAAAAGAAGCTACAGATTGGGAACATTTTACAAGGAAACATGGTGATTGTACAATGCGTATGGTTGTTGTTATTCTCTCAGTTTTATGGAAAAAAACAAAAGAAAAAGAAGAAAACTTTTGTCTTGTTGATTGTCTCTGTCACTTTATCTCCTCCGACCCATAATCCGAGCAGACAAGGGAGTAAAAAGGGGCAAAGTGTTTTTTGTCTCTCAGGTAAAAGAATTTACATGTAATCATTGGTCCCGGAGCTACCGACTCCGACAGTTCTCTTGCTCATGTTTGCTCTTTGCACCAACACAACCAAGGCCTGCACCACTTCGGACATGGGTGGTCTAAACTCTGGCTCCGGCTGTCACAAATTAAGAACACCATTTACATTCAGACTTTCATTTCATTCTTCCCATCTGCAGACACACATTTCTATGTATAATATACATTACCTGGACGCAAAGGGCGATAACATCTGCAAATCGGGAGAGAGATTTAACAGGGTAAAGCCCTTTGAGAGCTGGATCAACCATTTTTCCCAAAGCATCAATGTCGTGAAGCTGAGGTGTTGCCCATCTCACCAATGACTGCTCAGACCTTGACCTTGTGCTGTCACGCCGCAATATCAAGCACATCAGTTATCTCTTCACAAAAAGTTCCTCACCTAACTACCACAGAGATATGGATCATATACAAAAGAAGTACCTGTCGAATGGTTTTCTTCCGGTTAAAAGCTCAAGCATCACTACTCCGAAACTGTAAACATCGCTCTTTAGAGAGTATTGGCCTGACATGGAAACTTCTGGTGCGCTGTATCCTTCGTCGTTCTGGTTTAGTAGCTGCACATTGTATCAGAACTATTAAGTAATGGACAAAAGAGAGAGAGAGAGAGAGAGAGCAAATAATAGAGACTGGAGAAGGTATAAAAGTGTTGGAAGTCTCCGTATATACCTCATTCGCAGTGGGAAGGAAACTAGCGAGACCTGAGTCTGATAGGTGCGGATTTAGCTCTGAGTCAAGTAAAATGTTTGCTGATTTGATGTTCTTGTGGACTATAGATGGTGAACAAACTTCATGCAAGTACCTGCAACAACAACAATACTTTCCATGAGACTCTTGCCGTATAACCGGCAATAATGTGTTAGAGATGTTTAAAGACTAACTCCAATGCGCGCGCAGTGCCAAGAGCGATCTTGACGCGAGGATTCCATATCAACGGTTTGCTTTCATCTTCCGAAAGGTGTAAAAAGTCGTGCAATGAGCCGTTTCTATGGAACTCATAGATCACCAAGTGTTGGCCGTGTTCAGAACAGTAACCGTGAAGCTTTGTGACATTTTCATGATCCAAGTGCGCAATTTTCGATACTATTTCGGTGAAATCATCAGCCGTGTCAGTAGGAAGCGCAGACGAGTCAATTTTCTTCACGGCTAGTATCTATTAAGATTAAAACAATATCTCAGCAGCAGAACATTAAGAAATTGTGCTATTACATGTAAAGAGTTCTATAAAATTAATTACCTTTCCATCATCAAACTGAGCTCTGTATACTCTTCCAAAAGTCCCTTCACCAAGAAGATTTTCAACGTTGAAACTATTGGTAGCTATTTGAAGATCCGCAACCGTATACGTATTCACATTTGAAGGAACAACAACAGCAGCTTTCTTTGTAACAATGGGTTTTCTCAAAGTTGAATCATCTTCATCAAACGACTTATGTCGCTCAGCTGGTGGAGGGCGTAGATTCATCGACAAAGAAGCATCTAGTTTCTTTGTCTCAACTACTGGTGGATTCTGTATCGACTTATTCTCTGCACCCACGTGAATACAAAGTTAGAATACCATAAGAACACGTCAATGTATAGACATTATAGCAATATTTCTTTAACGTGTTATTGCCTTGATGAAAGTCATTTGAAGCGAGTGTGAAGGGTTGGTTAACGTTGTTAACAGTCTTTTCAATGTCTGTGGACGATGTCCGCTTTGATCTTTTTCTCTTGATCAGGAAGAAAGCTATGACTGCTGTTACAACTAACAATGAAATGACTATTCCTGCTATTCCACCAGCTCCCATCCCTGATTTCTTTGAGACATTGCTACTGTTGGAATCACCATTGGACCGGTGTTCACCGTTACCGGATTTAGGAGTAGGTGATTTACGGATGGGAGGTGTACCAGGAGGTGGTGGAGGAGCAGGCCCCGAATTGAAAGAATTACCATCCTTTCTGTTTCCAAGATCGTTCAGGACAATATAAGTGAGATAAGAAAAAAGTTCCAAGAAAATCAAAGAAACTAATGAAAAACTTACTGCAAGTTAATGCCTTTCAAAGAATCTGGGATCCAACCCGTGAAACGATTGTTTGCAATATTCCTGAGGAAGCATTCAGCAAGAAAATCATTCAAATTGATGTTTAAATGTGATAGCTTTTTAAAACAGATAAGCTTCAGTTACCCACAAATTTTCGAGAGAAAGGCTTGCTAGTACATCGATTGTGCCTGAGAACTGATTGTTCTGAAGATAACTGTGAAGTTCAACAAACACAATGTTAGTATTAGCTGGTTCCCTTATAGTGATTTCTTTCAATACATGGAGAATACTTACATTGATTTTGCACTCGTTAGAAAGCGACAGGTGCTCGGAAGAGAGCCCGTGATAGAATTGGAAGAGAGGTCCCTGAAACCACACATGAATTTTGTCAAAACTCTTGTTTTTCAGCTAATCAAGTTTCTTAACTGAGAGAAGTCAGGAAGAAAAGATCTTACAAGATAGTAAGAGATGTGAGTTTCGTGAAGTCAATAGCTAGTTGCTTCAACTGATTGTGAGCAAGATTGCTGGGAAAAACCAAATGAGCATTAAATAACCTATCTTCTCCAAAAGATGTTCGAAGATAAATAACTGAACTAAACTAAGAACTTACAGGTACTTGAGAGGTGTCATTAGAGAAATGGAATACTGAGCAGATCCAGTGAACTGGTTATTAGCAAGATTCCTAAACAATTCAGAAATTTTATCAACTTGGTAACACACAGAGAAACTTGTCGAACATATAAAGAAAATCATCAAACATACAATCTCTCAACGTTTGGAGGAAGCTGATATGGCAAATCGCCTCCAAGATTATTGCTGCTTAGATCACTGCATGTTTCGCCAGAACAATCCATGAGATTATAAGCTATGTCATTAGATACAAAAGAAATGAATTTTTGAAGTATCATGGAATGTGAAACTTACAACTCAGTTACAGAAGTCAATTTATCAAGCATATATCCTAGTGATCCAGAAAGTCCAAGACCTGATAACTTTCTGCAAGTAGATAAAAAAAAAAAAATGTATCAAGCATAGATACAAGAGAAAACAAGACAGGACACATTTATTTGAATATGATACAAAAATCATTACATTTGAGTAACTCTTGAGCCAGAGCACGTTATGCCTTTCCAGTTTTGGCCACAAGGATCACCTCCTGATGCTGTCCATTGTGATAGCTGTCCTGGAGAACCCATGGAGCTGAACATGGTGTTCAACGCCGAAGCTGCACATATTGAGAATCACTGAATCAGAGACC